CAGAAGCATTCACAAAGTTTAAAGATTTCAAAGAATCTGTTGAAAGAGAAGTCGGAGATGAGATCCAGTGCTTTCGCACGGATAACGGGGGAGAATACACATCAAGAGAATTCTCCCGATTTTTCACCTCAGCAAAATGGCATAGCATAAAGGAAAAATTGACATCTGGCAGAAACGTGTCGAAGCATGATACATGCAAAGAACGTATCGGTGAGGTTTTGGGCAGAATGTATGAAGACGTCGGCCCACGTAATAAATCGACTACCACAAGAAAAGCTGGGATTCATGTCACCATTCGAAAAGCTATGGAAAACCAAACCAACTGTTAGCCACTTCAGAGTCTTCAGATGCGTCTGTTACGTGTTCGTACCAAGTCACTTACAGAGAAAATTTGACAAGAAGGCAATCAAATGCATATTCTTGGGATATGACGGTCAAAGAAAAGGGTGGAGATGCTGCGATCCATCAACCAGTCGGTGTTACACATCACGCAACGTGATTTTTGATGAAGCATCTTCTTGGTGAACACCGCAGAAGTCAGAGCTACCAGATTCTAAAGAAATCGAGGATAAACTCCAGAAATGGGTGAAACTTCCAGAAGCAACTCAAAGAATAGAAGAATCAGACGAGGAAGTGGAGTCACCAAGAACAACTCAAAGTCCATGGCAGACCGGTTTACATGAAGTAACTCTAGAATTAATGAGGCAAACTCAACTCGAGGAGATTGAGCCACCATGAGAGGAAGCAGGCGAAGTACCGACAAGTCCACAACAACTACGGAGATCTTCCAGACAAAAGAAGATACAAGTATAAAAGAGCCACAAATATTTGAGGAAGCAATTAAACATAAAGAATGGACAAAAGCAATTAATGAGGAGATTATGACTCTAAGGCAAAATGAAACATGTGACTTAGTACCCAAACCAGATGGAGTTAAACCTATATCTTGTAAATGGGTTTATAAAATAAAAAGGTGGCCTGACGGATCAATTGAAAGATATAAAGCTCAACTTGTTGCACGTGGATTCTCACAATAGTACGGGCTAGACTACGACGAGACACTTAGCCCAGTGGCAAAAATCACAACAGTTCGAGTACTTATTGCACTGACAGCAAGTAAGTCATAGAAATTATGGGAGATGGACGTGAAGAATGAATTTCTACATGGAGAGCTCGACAGAGAAATATACATGGTCCAACCTGCGGGGTTCGAGGATAAGGAGAATCCAGGCTACGTGTGCAAACTAAAGAAGGCCCTATACGGGTTAAAGCAAGCACCACGAGCATGGTACGGTAAGATCGCATAATTCTTAATTCAGTGTGGATACTCTGTTGCACCAGCAGATTCGAACCTTTTCGTCAAGAAACGGGAAAGAAAACTAGCAATAATACTAGTATATGTGGATGATATCATTATCACTGGAGATAATGAAGAAGAAATCAAACAAACCAGGAAGATATTATTAGTGAGATTTCAAATGAAAGAGCTTGGAGAACTTAAGCACTTTTTTGGGGCATGAGCTGAAAGAAAGAGGCGACGGTCTTTTATTGTGTCAGTCAAAATATGCTAAAGATCTATTGAGGAAATTTGGCATGATTGACTGCAAGCCTTTATCGACTCCAATTGAAGCAAATGCCAATATATGTGCTCAAGATGGAAAAGACTTGGAGGATGCAACTATGTACAGGCAGCTGGTCGGAAGCCTAATCTACCTAACCCTAACACAACCAGACATTTCATATGCAGTAGGGATTGCAAGTCGATTCATGGAGAAACCAAAGATGCCACACCTCGAGTTAGTCCGACGCATACTAAGGTATGTAAAAGGATCAATCGATTATGGACTATTTTATCAAAAGGAATAAAGATTTCAAGATTATTGGCTATTGCGATGCGGACTATGCCGGATGTCATTTTACAAGAAGGTCCACTACTGGGTATGTGTTCAAGTTTGGATCGGCTGCAATATCATGGTGTAGCAAAAGAAAACCGACAGTGTCCCTATCAACCGCAGAGTCCGAGTACCGAGCAGCAGCAATGGCGGCACAAGGAAGTACATGGCTTATGCAACTATTTAAAGATCTACATCAGCCATTTAGTTATGCGGTACAACTATATTGCGATAATCAATCCGCTATACGCATAGCAGAAAATCCTGTGTCACGCAAGAACAAAACATGTCGAAGTTCACTATCACTTCGTTAGAGAAAAAGTGCTCAAAGGAGAGATAGAGATGCAACACATGGGTATGGAAGACCAAGTAGCAGACGTGTTTACCAAAGGGCTCAATTCTTCAAAATTCGAAGAGTTTCGAACACGTCTTGGGATGGTTCAAGAAGAAAACATAACTCAAGAGAATGTCATTGCTGAAGAGGAGAATTGAAAATCATCACCGACATTAATAAAAAATTAAATTATCTTTTGCCACCAAGAATTATAAGTTTCTGGGCTATAAGAGAAATATCTATATTATCTTAATGTTTGTTTACTAATTAATCTACATACTAGATCCTTCTATTGGCTAGTATAAATATAGGTAGAATTGTGTGTATGGTGTGCGAGTGATTAGAAAAAAAAAAAAAAAAGTGAGTGAGGTGTTTTACTAAAAAAAAAAAAAGAAGAGTGTTAGCATATTGTGAGTTGTGAGAGATACATTTGTAATAATTTATTTCTATAGTAAAATCAATTTATGTATTAACTCTTAACTTTATTGATTCATTTATTTCCAACATTGTCTTATACAAGAATTTACAACTTTCGGTTGGGCTATTGTTAGACAGACTTAGCATAGATAATTAATACTCACTCTTATTTTTATTATTTGTCATCTTAGCTTAATTGATCATTGTTAAAATAAATGTCGTTTTGACTATTTTGTTCATATTTTTCCCTTTTTAACCATCCATTTAATGCAATGTCTCTTCATATCACATCTCCATTGTATCTCATATCATCCATTAAATAGGGTTAATAATGACAAGAAAAAAAGTTATTAATTAGCTTGTTGCTTCTCAAAACAACAAATAATAAAAATAGGAGAGTATATTTTATATTAATAGATTCTCAAAGTTGAAATTTAACTATAAAGGCCACCTTCTATATAGACATAGAAAAAAAGAAAAGAAAAGAAAAAAAAAATAAAGGCCAGTTGTGGAATTTACATAAAATATATAACTGCAAAGAACAAAACAATAAAGTAGTTAAATGAAAACTCTCGTGACTTCAACTATTTAATATCTATATTACTTTGTTGGGAAATGCTACTGTCCTGTTACGGTACCATCTCGTCGAGTGTTTTAACCGTTGGATCATCTATCTTGTCTAACTACACGTGGATTCAACGGTTAAAACAACCGACATGATGGTACTGTAACGGGACCGTAACATCTCCCTACTTTGTTACATAAATTTTTATTTCATTTATCACTAATCTGCAGTAATATGTCATTATCAATTTGATTATCTTAGTAGAAATCCTCCACTTTTGTAGCCTTGTCGATTTTCATGACTAGGTACACAGATGATACTATCTCAATTTTCTTTGATAGTGTAGTTTATGCACTTTGCAGTGAATTTTGAGGGAAAAAGAGATAGAAATAAAAGAAAAAAAACTACCTTTTCGCTATGTTCTTGCGACGATGCCAGCCTTGGTCGTGATATCAGTCGATCATTTTCTTGGTTGTCAAAGACAAGGTCGGCATTTCTGCAAACACGGACGAAAAATGACAAACTTTTTTTTTTTTTTTTGCTGATAGCAAAAATGATACTCGTCTCTTTCACAACCAAGATAACAACCGACAATATCATAATCGAAGACAGCATAGTTTGGTAAGAGAAATCGAAAAGATAGCATGCTTGTAATTTTTTCAGAAGGCGCGGAGGTGCGAAAGGCTCTGCTTTTTGGTCGGATTCAGTAAAGAGCTTTGGATTGCGATTTTCATTTCCGTTTCTGTGAAAATGATCTTGAGATGGATTCTTGCTCTGTGCTCCATGATTTGTAGTGGTCTTTTTTCTGGCACATGATCTTGAATTAAGGCTACTAAACAGCAGGTTCTCATAGTCATAGGCTGGTGAATTCTGTGCTAGATGATTAGTGTTTTGTTCTCATTTCTAATGTTATCAGTTGCAAGGGAACTGAACTTTAAGAGTTTTCTATTCCAAAAATGCAAAAGGAGAAGCGAATTTTACGAGTCGGAGCTCGTCTTAAACTTAAACCTCAGGAAGTTGCAGGGTTTTACGCAGGGGCACAAGAATTTCCTTCATTAGACGCTCCCTAACACGATATGCGTAGGATACTTGTCCCTCGGAAAAACCTTCTTATCAATCGAGTGTGGCATTGTCGTACGAGGTGCAATGTGGGACACCATTTTGCAGTAAGGCTGATTTTGCACAGCCCTCCTTTGATCAGCAAATCCATATCCGATCTCATGTTCCGAGCAAAATAATCGGAAACTCGTTCGTGCAGGAATCTGAAATCGGGTTCAGTATTAAACCTCTCGACAGCCCTTTTTGCATTCAAGATCCTTCCCTAATCCTCTTTTTACTCAAGCCATCTACACACTAAAACTCAACCAGCAGTCACATACTCACAGTCAATTCATTTCCCAATTTATACTACTAATATACAGAGTAAGTATCCTAATGGTTGGAAATAATATTTGATGGTTGAAATAATTATTTACACACAGTTTTGTACAAATTTAACTTTTTAGCCAAAACTTTTAAGATATAAATAAATTAAAATATTATGATATTTTATTAAAACATATTTAAAATATACAAAAAGAAAAAAAATTCAAGAAGAGATATTTCATATGAAAGCAGAATAAAGAAAAAAAAATATTAAAGTTCCATTTGTAATTTTATATCCAACTAATAGAGCATTGATCAAAATCCTTCTGGCCAATTCTAAAAATACAGAGCATATTATCAAAACCATATGGCCAATCAGTTCAACCAAACTATCCAACACAATCCACCAAAGCAAACCCATTTCCCCTTACCCAAATCCATCACAATCAATCCAGCACAACCACAGCTCTTCATACTCCTTGCCTGCAATTGCCTGATTCATAACAGCCTGGGGACTGATAATCCTACCTTCCTCCAAAAACACCTTCATCATATTCTTGGAATAACCACTCACAAGCGCCACTCCCGGCTGTCCTGCCGCCACCGGAGTCGCCGGAGAACTTCTTAGATTCCAAAACACAATCTCCGGCACACATTCCCCATACCCTTTCTCCCCAAACTTCCTAACAATCACCTCGTAATCAGTCTCCCAAGTGCTGGGAGGCCCAGCAACGCCCGGTAAAATATATGGTGGTGGTGGGTAACCTGAATAATATGATGGTAAGCCATACGATGGTGGTCGGTAACCTGAATAACATGATGGTGCGCCATATGATGGTGGTGGGTAAGGTGAATAATATGATGGTGCGCCATACGATGGTGGTCGGTAACCTGAATAATATGATGGTGCGCCATATGATGGTGGTGGGTGAGGTGAATAATATGATTGTGGGCTCTTGTTCCGTGCCTGATCAAACTCCATGTCACTAAACACCAAAAGCCGCTTGATCATCTTCTCCGGCTTGAGATTCCCAGCCACGGCAACTTCAAGCAGCAAATTGATGCAGCACGTGGTAGACAAAAGGGATATATGTTCTTGATGAGTTCAAGAAACCAGAAGAATATATAATTATATTAATGATCAACTGATAAAACTCTTGATAGGAGTACAATATATATAGGGAAAATCCAAGTCTCTTATTCCTAATAATATTCCTACTAATTATCTTGTTAGGCAAGATAAAGATTTTATTTCCTAATTAAAGCAAACAACTAAAGAAACTAAATAAAAGATAATTAGGAAACAAATAATTAAATAATAAATAATAAATAATAATTATTTAGACGCGAAGACGGTCGTATTTCTCCAGAAATGCTAGCGCGGCCTCGTCTTCATCATCCTCCCCCGGTTGAGAAGGATTCGCCCTCGAATCCGATCGGGCCTCGTCTTCCCCCGAGTTGTCGCCAGCAAAAGGCACCAAATGCTTGACGTTAAAAACGTCATGTGTGCGAATATGAGAAGGAAGCCGCAGGCGATAGGCATTCGGGTTGATTTTCTCAACCACCTCCACAGGACCGATCTTCCGAGCAGAGAGCTTATTATACTCAGAAGCCGAGAAACGATCCTTCGTTAGTACCGCCCAGACAAAATCACCGACTTCGAACTCCACATGGCGGCGACGAACATCGGCCCGCCGCTTGTACGCGGCGGTGGTAGCCTCCAAACGAGCACGCGCCTGGTCATGTGTTGCCCGCAGGTCCTCTATCAGCTCGGCCGCACGGCGATCCTCCGAGCCCGGCGCCGGAAGAAGTACCAGATCCGAGGGCCCGCGGGGAACCGCCGCGTATACCACCTGAAAAGGCGCGAATCCCGTGGCCCGGCTGACCGCCGAGTTGTGAGCAAACTCCGCTTGAGGCAGGCGCTGGTCCCAAGTCCGAATATTATCCCCCACGAGGCAGCGAAGGAGATTACCCAAAGAACGATTGACCACCTCAGTTTGGTCATCCGTTTAGGGGTGATAAGCACTGCTAAAATCGAGCCTGGTGTTCGCCATACGCCACAGGCTCTTCCAGAAGTAACTCAGAAAGCGCGTATCCCGATCAGAAACAATTGCCGATGGTAGTCCATGTAGGCGATAGATCTCACGGAAAAACAACTGGGCGACATGCACAGCATCCGTCGTGCGCTTGCATGGAATAAAGTGAACCATCTTCGAGAAACGGTCCACCACGACGAATATGGAATCGAAACCACGTTGGGTACGAGGAAGACCCAGGACGAAATCCATACTGATAGAAGACCATGGTCGAGTCGGAATAGGGAGAGGCCGATATAATCCAGCGTTGCTCGCCACTCCCTTCGACACTTGGCATACACGACATCGCGCCACAAAACGAGTCACATCACGCCTCAAGCTCGGCCAAAAGTAGGACCGACCCACGAGCTCAACGGAGCGGTCGCGGCCCACGTGGCCTGCGCCATGCAAATCGGCGATTAGACGCAGCCGAAGACTCACGTCTGGAATGCACAAACGCGAACCCTTGAACAAAAAGCCATCTACCAGAGAATAATCATCACAGGGTCCACGGGCAAGAGACATGAAAATGGGGCCAAAGAATGGGTTATCCGCATAAGCGTCCCGAAGAACATCAAAACCGACGACGGAGACCCGCAGATCTGTGAGAAGCATCGTGCGCCTGCTTAAGGCATCCGCCACCCAATTCGACGCCCCCGATCGATGGCGAAGCACAAACGTGAACTGCTGTAGAAAAGCCGTCCATGAAGCATGACGCGTCGATATGTGATCCTGAGAAGCCAAGTGGCGCAACGCCTCATGACCTGAAAAAAGAACGAACTCTCGGTGAAACAGATAGTGTCGCCAATGACGAACGGCACGCACGACTGCATAAAACTCCACATCATACGTGTTGTACCGAGTGCGCGGCCCTGTGAGCTTCTCGCTGAAAAACGAAACCAGGCGACCATCCTGGCTAAGGACGGCGCCGATCCCAACCTTCGACGCGTCACACGAAAGCTCGAAGGGGCGGTCAAAGTCGGGCAATGCAAGAACCAGGGCTGACGTTAACCGCGCCTTGATAAGCTCAAAAGCCTCCTCAGCACGAGGCGTCCAAGAAAACACCTTCCCCGACATGCAATCAGTAATAGGGGCCATAATCGAGCTGAAATGATGAATAAAGCGTCTATAGAATGAGGCTAACCCGTGAAAGCTCCGTGCCTCAGTAAAAGACGTAGGCGAAGGCCAATCGCGAATAGCCGCCACCTTCGACTCGTCCACCCGAATGCCATCAACAGAGATAAGGAATCCCAAGAAAACGACTGAGCTCACCAGAAACACACACTTCTTCGGGGCGGCATAGAAAGACTCCGCCCGAAGGATCCCCAAAACAGCCCGGACATGCCCCAAGTGCTCCTCAAGCGTCCGACTATAGATGAGAATGTCGTCGAAATAAACGACGACACACGTGCCAATCAACTCCCGGAGCGCCTGGTTCATGACGCGCATGAAAGTACTAGGGGCGTTAGATAAACCAAAAGGCATGACGAGCCACTCAAAAAGACCCTCACGAATCTTGAAGGCTGTCTTCCACTCATCCCCTGGCTTAATACGAATCTTGTGATACCCACTCCGAAGGTCCAACTTGGTGAAAATAGTGGCACCATGAAGTTGGTCGAGCAAGTCGTCTAAACGAGGGATTGGGAAGCGATAGTGCACCGTAATCCGATTAATCGCTCTGCTGTCGACACACATACGCCACGCCCCATCCTTCTTCGGAATGAGAAGGGCAGGGACCGCACACGGACTCAAGCTCCGACGTACGACCCCGCGCTGCAAAAGCTCCTCCACCTGACGGCGCAACTCCTCATGCTCAGCGGGACTCATACGATAATGAGGGCGATTGGGCAAGGAAGCCCCAGGCACAAGTTCTATATGGTGCTGGATATCCCGCAGAGGCGGCAACCCCGTGGGAAGCTCATCCGGAAAGACATCAGAAAACTCACCGAGTAGGGGCACAATAGCCGCCGGTGGCTCCCGGTCATGCGCAGAGTCGACGCCCAAGAGAACCAAGACGGTAGGGGCGCTGGTCATCTCCGCCGCGAACGCGGCCCGGGACAAAAACAAAACCGGCGATGCCGGTGGTGGCTCGGACGGCGATGCCACAGGCAAGGGACGAGCGGGACCCGGATGCAACACAATCCGAACACCTCCAAACAGAAAGCTATACGTATTGAGGCGCCCGTTTAAAGTGACGCCCCGATCAAATTGCCATGGGCGACCCAACAACAAGTGGCAAGCATCCATCGGGACGACATCACACCAAGCCTCATCACGATAACGCGGGCCAATCGAGAAATGCACCAACACCCGCTTATCCACAGTGACCGCACTCCCTTTCTGAATCCACGCAAGTGAATATGGCTGAGGGTGAGCCACAACCGGGAGGTGGAGCTTATCAACTGCCGTCTGCGCAATCACATTCTCGCATGCACCCGAGTCGATGATAAAAGTGCACACGCGATCTCCCACCGTGCATGTGGACTCAAAAATACGATGGCGTTCCAAAGGCTCCGAGACCGTATCCCGAGGCGCCAAACAAGCACGCCGCAGGACAAGAGCTCGGCCCACATCACCCGTATAATGCTCCTCCACAATCTCCGGCTCCTCGTCATAAACCGGCGGCCCATCGTACAACCCGCCCGACTCACCATAGTCCTCTTCGGCAAACATGGCCCGCGAAGTGGACCCGCGCGGACACGCACTCCTAATATGGCCCTGTTCGCCACACCTGAAACACCGCGGCCCCGCCCTGACGCGAGGACCACCCGACGCCGCTCCTGTTGAAGACGGACCCACCGTCCGCGGCGCATCCGTAGCTGACGCTGGCGGCCCGGAGGATGGCCCAGGCCCGACACTCCGACCCGTAGCCGGTGCCCCACGTCCAGGCGTCGTGAACCCCAAGGACCGCCTAGACTGTTGCTGCTCGATCATAAGGGCCCGTTGGTGTGCGTCGGAAAAAGAAACCGGGACGAATAAATTCAGTGTGTCCTGGATTGACAAACGCAAACCCCCCACATAACGAGAAATAATCTGATCTTGGGTTTCACAAATATCAACCCGAGTGAGCAAACGATAAAACTCCCCCGTATAGTCATCAACCGAACGTGGGCCTTTCCGTAAATTCTGGAGTTTCTAAAAGATAGTTCGACGAAAATTAAACGGCAAAAACTCACGTTCAAGGTGCTTACGAAATTTCGCCCATGAGGTGATCTTAGGCTTGCCCATGCGATGCCGCGCCGCCTTCAACTGATCGTACCAAGCCGCAGCCCGGTCCCGCAGTCGTGTGGCAATAAAGGCCACTCGGCGAGTGTCTGGGACATTCTTAAAGTCGAGAATAGACTCGACAGCAATGATCCAGTCAAGGAACTCGAAGGCGTCGAGACCGCCCGTGAATTCAGGAACCTCGACACGAAAAGAGGCCTCCCAGCAGCTCTCATTGCCGCCGCGCCGCGTGGTCCGGCCGCCGTCCTCCTCGTTGAAGATCCCCTCCTCCATGCTGTACTCGCCATCGCTGTCCTCGTACCGGGCCCGACGGTAACCGAAAGGGTTCTCCGCCGTCGGGGTGTCACTGTCTAGGCCGTGCGACGACCGTGGAGACCGCGAGCGCGGCGCGCCCCCCGGTCCCCTTTCGCCACGGCCGCCCCCTCTCCCGCCGCGACCACCCCGGCCTGTGGTGGTTCGGTTCGCCTGATCCCGTCAAGCAGAGTCTGCATAGCCTGCCTGATTTCCTCGACCCCCTCGGACAGATCCGCAACACGGCGATTCATCCCCTCCATCTGGAACCCAAGATCATCCGTACGGCGATCCAGATTGTCGAGGTGATGGTCACGGCGTTCGTTGTCGTTCCTCTTTGGCGGCATCGTAGGATCGTTCCGACAGCTGATACCAACTGATGCAGCACGTGGTAGACAAAAGGGATATATGTTCTTGATGAGTTCAAGAAACCAGAAGAATATATAATTTTATTAATGATCAACTGATGAAACTCTTGATAGGAGTACAATATATATAGGGAAAATCCCAAGTCTCCTATTCCTAATAATATTCCTACTAATTATCTTGTTAGGCAAGATAAAGATTTAATTTCCTAATGTATTCCTACTAATTATCTTGTTAGGCAAGATAAAGATTTTATTTCCTAATTAAAGCAAACAACTAAAGAAACTAAATAAAAGATAATTAGGAAACAAATAATTAAATAATAAATAATAATTATTTAGACGCGAAGACGGTCGTATTTCTCCAGAAATGCTAGCGCGGCCTCGTCTTCATCATCAATCAAACACCTTTTGGAAATCAGTGTTCATACCCTCCTCCATTCTCCTCACAAATGCAGTCTTCTCCGCCAAACTCGACCCCACCACATCTTGAATCTTGGGATCCGCGCTGAATGTGATGAGCTTCCCCTTCCAAGGCTCCTCGCTAAGCTCCGAAACCAAAACCCCAAGAGCCACCGAAACCTCCATCGGGACACCATACATGCTCCCGGAAACATCGCAAATGGCTAGGCAGTTGCTCATCTTCCCCTTCTTAGCCAGGTCATCCACCATTCTCCTCCACTGAAGCTCTGCCACCTGGCCTTTGTCACCGTCTCCAAGTCCAGCGACTATCTCGTGCGGAAGCAATGCTCCAGCGGCAATCTTGGCCTCACCCTTATCGACCTTTTCGAGATACTCTCCGAACCTCTGCTCATCATGCTCGAGGAACACCTGCTTGTACATTTTCATTGCAACAGAGGACACCCTGTGTAAGAGAGTGTACTCCACTGTTTCGCGCTCATGTAGACCTCCGGCAGCTCGAGGGCTTTACGAAGAGGGACAAGAACTTGCTTACGTAGATGGTCCCGAACACGATAAGCGTAGTGAGCCTCCTCCACTAACTCGTATTCGGGATATTCGGACCTCGGGAAGACTTTCTTGGCAATGGGCTCACAAAGCAGAGTGACCTGGTCGTACGAAGAGTCGAGGGAGGGGCACCACTTGGCGGCAAGGCTAACTTTGTTCGATTGACCGGATTTCAGATTCTCCATGTCCGACTGCAGACACAGGGCAAAGTAATCCGACACGCGCTCGTGGAGGAATCTGTAATCTGGGTCGCGTCTGAACCTCTCATAGGCCTTCTTCGCCCGCTCGAGCCTCTTCTCCTCATTGCTTAGTTTCGGCTGGTTTGGGCTCTCGTTCGAGTTGCTTGGCCGGTTGGATCTCCTCCTCATCCGGCCTTGAGTCTGCTTCCTTATGCCACCATATCGTGGGGCCATCTGTTTGGGTTTTTTGGTTTGTCGGCGTTTGGCAAGCTCGCGAGCCCGGCGTGAGCCACTCGATTTCCAACTCCGGTAAGCAGCCTTAGCCTGGGTACGGGCGTCGGGGCCCTCGACGAGGCGGAAGAGGATCTCGAGGAGGTCCTTGAAGTAGCCAAACTTGGCCAGGGAAGCGACGTTGCAGGCGAGGGTCTTAGGGTGGTTCTTGTGGATCCACAGGGCCGCCGTGTACCCGCCCTCCCTGTCGGTCTTGCCAGTGCCGCGAACGCCGCGGAGGTTGCAGACGAGCTTCAGGGCCTTAAGCGGGTCGTCCTCCCAGGCGAGCTTCAAGCGCTCGGCGAGGGCCTCCGGCGGCGTGTCGGGGACGACGTGGAAGAAGAAGTCGAGACACGGGTTTCCGGAGGAGAGTAAAGTCGGCGAGAAGTTCTCGGTGAAGCCCATGGGTGGGACGGGGGCCGTGACCGCCGTCTTGTTGAAGTTGCCCACCATGAGGTCCATGAACGGATTTCCCGTGGTGGCAGGGGCGGTGGCGGCAGCGGGAGGGGTAGAGTTCCGATTGATCTCCGGAGGGCCGACGAGAGAAATTGTTGTGGTGGCGGACGAAGCCATCGCGAAGAAGGAGATGGAGATGGCTTTTTTCTTGCCGGAGAGAGAGAGAGAGAGAGAGAGAG